ACTTCGTCGGTGTGTCTTGATCTTATGAGCAATAAAAACCCTGACACAAACACCTGTCCTGGAGCTGGGACTAAAACCAGAGAATTTAACCCTTCAGAATACATTGAGTACTATTTCAGCCTCACTTGGTACAATTTGAGCTGTGATTGCAGCACTAGGGATATGTCGAGACTTTCCAATAAGGGAAATGGTGTAGGTCTCTCCACTATCGAGACCAGTCAGTGAGAAGCTGTCAGTTGAGCCACTGGCAACATTCACACTACCACTGCCGCCTCCTAGGTAGGAGATGATGTAGCCAGTGGTGTCTCCTAGTGGAGAGGGAGGAGTCCAAGAGACCATGAAAGAAGTGGCAGTTTCCTGAGTCACCACCACGTTTGTAGGAGACGAGGCAACTATGTGGAAAAAGCACTAGTAGCTATTACCATATCACCCTGACCTTCGGTATCATACATACCTTCTATGTTTTGTCCACTACTAGCAGTAGTTGATATGCTGTTAGAAACGGTACCAGTGGAGAGGGAGGAGTCCAGGAGAGGCTGAAAGAGGTTGCGGTTTCTTGAGTCACCATCAAGTTTGTAGGAGACGAGGCAACTATGGGGAAAAGCACTGGTATTACCATCTCACCCCGATTTTCAGTATCATATGTACCTTCTATGTTTTGTCCACTACTAGCAGTAGTTGAAATGCTGTTAGAAACGGTGCAGACATAGACTCCACCCAGTCTCCCAGTCACAGTCAGAGTGTGGGTGTAGTGGGCAGCCACTGCATCGTTCAATACAGTTGTTCCTTCACCAACTGTGTCAGAATTTCTGGTCCAAATGACAGATGTAGCAGGTCCATCGGTGGAGTTACAGGACAGGGTAAACTGAGGCTCCACTGCAGTGAGCTCTGAAACCAGTGTGAACCCTATCTCCCCATCAATCACCACCTCACCTGCAAGACAAGAACATAAGAATAAATGCAACTAAGTAGCTACAAGTTAACCCACCTCCCTGCTCATTGTAGAGACCGACAAACACAGTTCGAGAGTTCCCATAGCTGTCGGTGGCACTGCAGGTGTAGATTCCCTCCACTGGTATCTCTGAGCCTCTCAACAAGTACACCCCGTAATTTCTTGGCTCACTGTACTCTCCAGTACCAGCACCATTGACTGCTGCCACCTCAATAGTGTAGGTAGTGGATGACACGAGGTTTTCAATAGCTCCATTAACAGTCAACATCTGTGTGCTCCCACTCCCCATCACTCCATACTGGACTGAGTATCCTGTGATGGCTCCATTCTGATGGATACATGGCACCTCCACCCACTGGACAGTGATGGTGGAGGAAGTCACATCAGTTACAGTGACATCAAGAGGAGAGACTGATGGAGCTGTGGGAGAAAGGACCATACAATAGACCAGTACCTCTAGCAGTGGTAGATAGTCTCTCACCTGCCTCCTCAGTCATCGCAGTCACTGTGTTACTGACTTCAGTACTACCAGCTCCATTAGAAGCTGTCACAGTGATGGTGTACCTACTGTCCTCCTCTAGATCATGTATAGCATGGCTGGAAGCAGTGATAGTGGTACTGTTTGTGTCCTCATCAGAACAGCCTACTGAGGTGTCTCTAGTCCATTCTATAACGTATTCATTTACCACTGAGCCACTGGGAACACTCCAGGAGAGGGAGATGGTAGTGGCTGGAGTCAAAACTGGCAGTTGGCTGTCCAGGAACTGCACGGGATACAGAGAATCATTGATTGAAGAGAGTATTGGGCTTACCTAACCCAAGAGCCATGTCTACAGTCACAGTGTCACTGGCATATCACTACATAACTCACTGTATACCTGTCACAGTGATGGTAGCAGAGGCAGAAGATGGCTTGTTATTAGACACCATACATGTGTAATTGCCTGCAGTAATCACAGTCAGAGTGTGGGTGTAGTTTGCAGTCACTGGGTCATTCAACACAGTCTGGGTTCCTTGGGTGACAGTGGTGGAGTCTCTGGTCCAAGTGACAGTGGTAGCAGGTCCACCAGTGGAGATATAGGTGAGGGTCAGCTGGTCGGAGTCAAATGTCACTCCTCCAGATATTGAGATGTCTCCTGCAATGATAATAATAATTATAAATAATGGGAAATATTCCACAGCAGTATGTGATAAACGGGATGATTTTAACTTCATAATTGTAAATTTTAGTCCAATATTCCATCTGCACCGGCATATGGAGTCTATATTTTGCAATTAGTACGTATAGGTAGAATATGTAGTGATTACTCGGATTTTACGTTGAGACATTTCAAACTAACGGAGCGACTGATTCATCAAGGATACAGATATTCTGATTTGTGCAGGTCCTTTTATAAGTTGGCTAAAAAGCATTCACTAATTATGAATAAATATAGCTGCAGCATACGCAAACATGTGGGGGGTGGTATAAATTATGTCTACCAGCAATGCATAGGTTCCTAAGTCGCTATGTCTCGCATAGATAGAATGTTATTTTTGTGACATATTTATTTTGGAAAATCTATTTTTTAACATTTATATTTTTATATTTTTCTTACACGTGTATATTTAGAGTAATCACACGTTTTTTCTATCTGTGGCTCTAAGTTGTCCGCCTTAGAGGGGTTCCACTGTAAATGAGAAATCTCAACTCACAAGAGGTTGTGGTGGGGTGGTCATCATATGGAAAAAGTCTCTTCCGATCACCCCTGTGACCAAGATCGCCTCAGATAGATTCTGTGTCATTCAACTTCAGCCAGAGAATCGTTGTGAAAATGTGTTTATCATTGGAGTCTACCTGCCAAGCTGTAATCTTTCAACAGACGTTTTTGCGGAATGTCTGGCTGATCTAGAAAATGTCATCAGTTCACTTCAGCCCACCGGCCAAATTATTCTGGCAGGAGATTTCAATGTCCACCTAACGCAGTCAAACCAGTCCTTCGGTCGTGAAAGTTTACTTCACAACTGCATTCACCGCCATAACCTATACTTAGCAATATCGTCTCCGGTCCAGACTATACATTCTTTTCGAGTACCACGCATTCTATGGTGGATTATATCCTAACAGAATCGTCGTTGGTGGGCCAAGTATTATCATGTCTGGTGCATCAACACCATCCATGGGAACGTACATGGTTTTGCTGAACAAGTATCCTCTCTAACTTCACCTTTTGTTCATGCTACACATCAAAGTATCCATGAGCTACAGTGGGAAATCACGTATGTAACCAAAGGTATAATTGGTGCTGCAACGAGGTGTTTACCACACAAAAAAGCCAAGAAGAAAAGATCCTTTGTTAAGGATGATCAGCTCAAAGATCTATGCAAAACCAGCAAAGCCGCTTGGAAAAAATGGAGTGATGCTGGTTGTCCCTCTTATGGCCCACTGGCAGAAGAAAAGAAACGTACAAAAATAAATGTTCGCCAGTTCGTTGCCATAGCTAGAGCTAGACAAGAGCGATCAACAATCCAAGAAAGAGATCGCCTGTTCAAAGAAAACTACCCCCTACGCTTCAAAAGTTCAAGTCTAAGGACCGAATGTACAAAACTTGTTGTAGACGGCCAGTCTGTCACAGATACAAGTGGCATCTTCAGATCTTTTTTGGTTCCCTTGCACAGTCAGATCTGCCACTATCTAGTGAACAGTGTGCTGCTCTTTCAGAAACGGAAGTGTCATCCTTTGGCAATAACGAACAGCTCCTCGACACAGAGATAGCTATGCGTGAAGAGATTGAAAAAGCTCTGAAAAATCTGAAATTAGGAAAGTCCGTAGGTCTTGATGGTCTTTCTCCAGAACCATTGTGTATGGTGGTGAGGTTCTGAAAATCTGGCTGAAGTAAATCTTTAACCGCCTTCTTACACTCGAAGAACTTCCAGATTGCTTGAAAGAAGGCCTGGCTGTTCCTATTTATAAAAGGCAGGGCAAGGATCCCCTACTGATGAGCAGCTATCGTGGAATCACACTCTCTTCTGTGCTGTCAAAGGTTCTCGAAATCATCCCTTTGCCTCTCTTCACCTCTAGAAGAACAAGGCTTCCCAGATCAGCTGCAAACTGCCTATCAAGGAGATGTCTCATGCATGGATGCCATCTTTGAGACTCTCACCAATCACCTTCGAGAAGGTGGTCAGCCCTATCTTTGTCTTTTTGACATAGAAAAAGCATTTTTACTCGGTGGTGTTACAACATCTCTTCAACATTGGAATCAATGGTAAGTTGTGGAGGCTAATAAAGAACTGGTACACCAACTCAACAAGTCGCGTTCGTGTCAACAACCAACTATCCGAACCTTTTACTGTTGAAAGAGGGGTGAAGCAAGGCTCAGTTCTCTCCCCCACCCTCTTCCTGATTGTAATGGATCAACTCCTAAAGCAGCTGGAAGAGAAGAAATGTGGTGTCTCTGTGTGCCAAACCTATGCTGGGGCTGCGATCCATGCTGATGATCTGAGAACCTAAAGAAGTCCAGTGTGATCAAGCAAGGGAAATCAAAAAATTTGCCGAAGACAATCACCTAAAACTTAATGCCTCGAAGTTGGAGGTTGTAAGAGTTTCCCGACATCGAAAGGATATATACGGAAAGGTTGGAGCTCGCTGGTGTCGTAACAGAAACAGCTCCTGCCGCCAAGTGCTTGGGTGTCTGGTGGCAATACAACATGTCTGCCTCCCGTGCTGTTCACGAGAACGTCAGCAAGCCTTCTTTGCACTTGGTAACATCGGTGCGTTTCATAAGTCTGAACCCTCTCTCGGGTTGCAGCATCTTCGAAACATGCATCATACCTATCCTTCTGTATGGGAGCGAAACCTGGCTCCTGGATTCATCAACAATCAAAGTGCTGGAGAGTTTCTAATGTGAAATTGGCCGCAGAATCCGTCGTCTACCAAGGCACCACTCCAAAACCGTGGTGAGACAAGGGCTGCAGTGGCCTTCAGTCTCTACACGTATTTTAATTCGCAAACTTACCTTTTTGGCCAAGTTGCTCTCCAGTACAGATGACAAAATCAGTGGCCGGATCTTCACCTCTCTGGCGATTGTTGATGTATGCAATGTGGGTATCGTACAACAATGTAGAATGCTGGAGGCGGATGTGAGTACAAATGTCCTTGCTCTGTGCCTCCAATACCCGACAGATGCACCTAGTATTGTGAAATCTATGAGAAAAGATATCATACCGTCTGATTTTGATGTACTGCTGAGATCTGCCCCCACCCATCCCTCGGCAAAGTACATAGCCTCAGTTGGCGAGGTTACATCATGGTGCCGACTGTGGGACCTGGCTCTCGATCGTGGTATTCGGGGAACACGTGGACTCCAGCCACTGTTGAAAGTGCTCAGCCACAGAATCTATACGAAGACTCTTTATATGTCCATCTTCTAGGGCCTCTCTGGGTACAGACTCTTTGTGGGTCGACCACATATGCCTAGCACATTCTGACGTGGTTAACCATCTTTCACACGATAAAATCATTTCTAAGCTGAAAGAGGCGGACATGGACACAATATTTTCAATTACAAGTTCTAGACTAAACCGTATATATTTTCTGTTACCTAACTCATTTCCTCTCGTCATTTTTACTTCTCGCTATAGCTCTGTATGCCAATGCCCTACGGGTCGTGCTTATGAACTTATGAACTTATGAACTTATTATAGCTACATACATACATATTATTATGTAGTGAGTGGAATTTTACACCATAACACAAGTGGTGGTCCTCTGCGGTATTTGGTTGGAGCCGCAATAACTGTTACCAACAGAGTAGCGGCAGTCAAAACACTCAATGAATGCAGTCATTGGTCAATGTTTCATGGTCATGAATGAGAAGATGGGGTCTCCATATTATACACTTTAATACTGTGGGACCAACATTCAAGTCACACGTGAGTTTCAAAAATTACATACGCTCCACAAAAAGGGACAAATGTACGGCTTGCACAATACTACAAACGCTGTACGATGTCACAACAGCAATCCTTCATAGTTGCCTTAATAATCCGAATAATGTGTTCATTTCTACCACTTATTAAGCTCACACATTGTACTATATTAGAGAGTCGGTAGACTCTCTATATAGGGATGACACGGGTGAAATCTCACGTGATCCGCGTACAAAACGACTAAACACTCGGTGAGAATCACTCCCTAGGCCTTCAAAACATACTAGCAATAGTCTACGGGCCCATATCTACCTATACGTGTCCCCCAAGAGCTCATACGCACCTTCAGTCGTCCACGCGAGAATTCGCTCATACGCGATTTCACGATTTTCGTGTCATCATATTCTTCATCTTCTTCTTCTTCTTCTTCTTCTTCTTCTTTAAACCCGCTATCTCCTTACCAGTACCAGTTCAAGCAGTGATTTTTTCACTGAAGGTCTCCAATTTCGCCGGAGGTGTGCACGGACATCAAGCGATCGTTTCTTTCTTGCCGCTAGTCACTACGGTAGATCATGGAGCTCTTCCCTGGTCGACCTGAACAACGCCATTTGCTGCTTACTCAGCATCAGTGATGCGCGCGCATGCGCAAGGCAGGGGCGTTGTCCAAATGTGCTTGCGAACGTATTCTACCGGGCGAGTTGGCAGACCTGCAGAGGAACTGTCAGCCTCCAGTACCTTCTGTAAGTAAGTGTGCACATTTCCAACTGGCTATCTTGCTGTTGATATGCACGAAGAGCAACTTGCCAGAGTCTGCGCGGTGTTACGCGAGCCTTGCGGGGCACTCAGTCAAATGGGCCTTCATTGTTTGTCCCCCCCCAGGTTGTAGCCTGATTACCAAAGCCTGCCAATGAAACCACAACCATGTGCAATAATCTAATTACATCCTTGTTGAAGACAATACATGGTATCTAGCAGTCCATTAGCTACTACTTTCAATTTGTCTATGGTAGCCTATCTACAACATAGCCATGAACATCAGAGTGACTGTAACAATAAATGCAGTGTTGCCAGAAGCTGTTAAAAATAGTGGAAACAAGTGGGAAAATCATTTCTTCAAAATGAAAGGGGGATATAGGGATGGCTTGAAGCACCAAAAAGGAAGAAACAAGTGGTCATTACACAGCAGAGTTGCACAAAGCTACATGACACCATCCCTATATCTTTGTTTTATTGTTTATAAGCAAAGTTTAATATCAAACAATATCAAACAAAGATATAGGGATGGTGTCATGTAGCTTTGTGCAACTTTGCTGTGTAATGACCCCTTGTTTCTTCCTTTTTGGTGCTTCAAGCCATCCCTATATCCCCCTTTCATTTTGAAGAAATGATTTTTCCACTTGTAATTATTCTTGTTCTTCTTCTTCTTCTTCTTTAACCCGCTTACCAGTACCAGTTCAAGCACTGATTTTTTCACTGAAGGTCTCCAATTTTGCCGGAGGTGTGCACGGACATCAAGCGATCGTTTCTTTCTTGCCGCTAGTCACTACGGTAGATCATGGAGCTCTTCCATGGTCGACCAGAACAACGCCATTTGCTGCTTACTCAGCATCAGTGATCCGCGCGCATGCGCCAAGCAGGGGCGTTGTCCAATGCGCTTGCGAGCGTATTACCAGGGGAGTTGGCAGACCTGCAGAGGAAATCTCAGCCTCCAGTATATACCTTCTGTAAGTAAGTGTGCATATTTCCAACTGGCTAGCTTGCTGTTGGTTTGCACGAAGAGCAACTTGCGCTGTGTTACGCGAGGCGCTCAGTCAAATGGGCCTTCATTGTTTGTCCCCCCCAGGTTGGGGCCTGATTACCAAAGCCTGCCCGTGAAACCGCAACCATGTGCAATAATCTAATTACATCCTTGTTGACATGAGGTGAACGCTGTATCTAGCCCCTGCTTCAGGCACTAGCAGCCCCATTAGCTACTACATTCACAATTTGCCATATCTACAACATACCCATGAAGTAAGTAATGCAGTGTTGTCATTAGCTGTTAAAAATAGTGGAAACAAGTGGAAAAATCATTTCTTCAAAATGAAAGGGGGATATAGGGATGGCTTGAAGCACCAAAAAGGAAGAAACAAGGGGTCATTACACAGCAAAGTTGCACAAAGCTACATGACACCATCCCTATATCTTTGTTTTATTGTTTATAACCAAAGTTTAATATCGAACAAAGATATAGGGATGGTGTCATGTAGCTTTGTGCAACTTTGCTGTGTAATGACCCCTTGTTTCTTCCTTTTTGGTGCTTCAAGCCATCCCTAACCCCTTTCATTTGTGAAGAAACTGATTTTTCCACTTGTAT